CTACCACTGAGCTACAGCCCCAGACCCATGCTTTTTTATTTCATGTCAAAACATTTTTTTTACTGGGAGCTTAATCTAAAGGTGCTCTACCACTGAGCTGTAACCCCAGCCCTTTTTTCATTTATTGAAAATTTGAGATGGAGTTTCACTAAATTGCCCAGGCTGGCCTTGAATTTCCAATTCTCTGTCTCAGTTTTCTGAGTATCTGGGATTTGCTTCATGTCAAATATAATGTCCAAACAATGTTGAAGTATTTCCTGAGCTATCTATTTGAGCATTTACAATCATTTAAATAACAATAGTTTGGGGGTTGGAAAAATATCTCAGCGGTAGAGCAATTGCCTGCAATGTTTGAGGTCCTGGATTCAATATCCCAGCACCACTATCAATCAATAAATCAATTAACCAACCAATCAATCAATATCCCTAGTTCTTGAACTGCTCATTTATGTTTGAGAGCACATTACACAGAGGGTGCCCATAGCCTGTGGTAAAACTTCTCCAGTAAATTCCAGGCTGCTGATACAGAAATGAAAACAATAGTCTAATTATTTTTTGTTATGTTTCCAAGTGCAAAAAGGCTGTAGAGTTTTCCCCAGATTTGATTTCTGAATGTGAATTATTTTAACTATGACTTTACAACAGTAAAATGAGCTCTCCTCAATGTTATTTGCTGTGTTTGGGGAAAAACATACAAGTCTCTCTCAAAATAGATAGAGAATACTAATCCCTGTCAATCAAAGCTGGCAAGGTCTCTGCTGGTATAACATTCACAAAAGCCTTGTGTATCTCCTGTACATGTAACAGGGATTAAGTTTATTAGGTAAAAGACTCTTTCCATAGTTCTTTCCTAAATAGTTCCATCTATATTCCTGACTATCTTAATTCCTCTTATAATTTTTCTTATATTTTACTATAAGCAGCAAAAAGAAATCAGGCTGCACTGTCAATATTTTGTCTGGAAATCTCAGATAACTGTCCAAGTTCATTGTTTATGAGTTCTTCTTTCCATGTAACTGCAGGTCACAAGTCAGTTAAGTTTCCTGCCAGGATATTCACTTTCCTCTAGTCTACAGTAACATTTTCCTCATTTTTGAGCTCTTACTAGCAGTAATTTTAACATCCATGCATATTCCTGAAATCTGCTTAAAATGAATTGTATATTATATAAGGCAATATGTGTTTCCCACCATATTCTCAATTCCATCTGAATCCTCATTAGTAGAGTTATTAACACAACATTTCTACTAATAGTCCACTCAAAGCAATCTAGGCTTTTTCTATCATTGCCCAATTCAAAAGTCATTTTCATATTTTTAGTTATTTATTATAGCAACACCCCATTCCAAGTTCTAAAATCTGTACCAATCAAGATTTGACCAGAGAAACAATTTGAGCAAACTATGTGTTTGGCTAGACAAGTCTAAAGTCCGTATGGCAGTTAGTTAGCAATTATAGGTTGGAACACTGAGGCAGAAGATGAATCTCCTTTGCTTAGGTGGAATTTCTTTATCTCATAGACAATTAAACTCTGTTTTTCATGCCTAACAATTGGTTGAATCAGATAAACCTAGATTATTTATGGTATTCTTTCTATTTTAAGTTTAGTTGATCATCTACCTTAATACTGTCTGCACATTAATTCTACTTGACAATGTAACACAAAATATTCACAGGTACCAGGAATTAGAAATATTCATAGGAAAAAGGAATTAGGATGTAGACAAGTTTGGGGGATACCATCATTTCTCCAAATGTTTTCTTGAAATAATTCAACTGCTTCATCAACATATCCTTTATTAAATTTTGTTTGGTTAACACATTTTCATTATACAATGTATTTTTTCCTGAATTCCTCATCAACCAGAAAAATATAATCATCCAAAGGCAGGTAGATACTGAGATGTTGTACCATTAGAAACTCCTCAGTGCCCAGAATCTGGACTCGTTTGAGAATTTTCTTGCCTGTTCTAGTGAAAAAAATTTTTTTATCACAGTAACCAAAAGACCTGACAAGAACAACTTAGAGAAGTTAATATGGGGCTCGTGGATTTAGAGATTTCAGTCTATAGCTAGCCAACTTCATAGTTCTGGGCCAAAGGTGAGTTAGAATATCATGGCAGAAGAGCATAGTGGAGGAAAGCAGATCAGGGCATGACAACAAGAAAGCAGAGAAAGCTCTGCTCACCAGGGACAAAATATAAACCCCAAAGGCAAGCCCCTAGTGACCTATCTCCTCCACTCCCAACCTACCTGCCTATAGCTATCAATCCAATCAATCCACATTAGTTGGATTAATTGACTGATTAGGTTATAACTCTCATAACCTAACCATTTCACCTCTGAACCTTCTTGCTTTGTCTCACATGTGAGCTTTTGGGGGACACACCAAATCTAAACTATTACATTTCATCCCTGATCCTTAAAAGCTCATGCCCATCTCTTAATGAAAAATATATTTAGTCCATTTTTAAGGTCCCCATAGTCTTAACAGTTCCAGCATTACCCAAAATTTCAAGTCCAAGTCTCCTCTGAGACTCAAGGAAAACTCTTAGCATGAACACCTGTAAAAATCAAAAGCAAGTTACATATATCCAATATATAATGCACAGAGTAAATATTTCTAGTCCACAAGGGCATAGAAAGAAAGGATGGGTCCAAGGCAAGACTGAAATCCAGCTGGGCAAATAAGTTCTGAAGTTCCATGTCCAGCATCTGTGGCATATGGCATTATGACATTTTCTCCAAGGGCCTTGTGCAGCTCTGCCCTTTTGGCCTTGTTGGTTACAGCCCACACAGGCTCTTTCTTGGCTTGTCTCTGCTCAATTCCTGCAGCTTTCTTTAGCAGATGTTCCATGTTACTAGTGTCTCTTAATCTCAGGGATCTCCACTGTAGTTTTGATTTCCTTATCACATCTTCATTCACTACTTTTTTTTAGAAGCAGCCACAGGGACTCTGACCCCGCTACACTTTGCCCAAACACCCAGTTATTCCTTTGAAATCTCAGTGGTATCCTCTATAAACCACTTACTCCATTATCCTGCAATCCTGCAGAACCAGCATTACATGATTGATGCTGCCACCATCTTGAGCAGCAGCCAAATCTCCTAGGATCATGGATGCAGCGCCCTCTGAATGCATGGGTGGCCAAGCATAGTGAAACAACTTCCTAGCCCCCGCAATGCAGACAGGGTTCCCAATGGTCTCTTCTCAAAGGAATTTTTACTTTTACACCCTGAGCTGGAGATGGGTGTGGTTTTGCCAATTCCAGAGATGCCCTAAATCTTCTTTCCTATGGTCTCTTTGTAAAGTACTTAACATCTCTTTAGTATTGCTAATGTATTTAACAACCACAAATTTCTTAGCCTCAGTTTTACTTATACTTTTATGGCCAAACTTTTTTTGACCAAACAAGTTTTTAAAATCTTTCTGCTCTGCTTTCTACTCCTGATTATCACAGTAAGTTTGTCTAAATGTCACCAACAATATCCATGCAACCTCCTAATGTTGTGCTGCCTTGAAATTTCCTTCACCAGATTAACTAGTATGTCACCTTTAAATTCAGCCTCACAGAAAGCCTCAAGACATGGACAAAATATAGACAATTTCTTTGTCAGAATGTAACATGAATGGCTTCTACTCCAATTGTTAGTTCAGTTCTCCTCCATTGAAATCTCATAAGTCTAGTATTTCCTGCCCAGAAGTCCTATCAGCATTCTGGTTTTCTGAGCTACCAGCAGAATCATCCATTAATCATCCATTCTAAAGCTTCTCCAGCTTGCATCTATAGCCTTTTCAAAATTCCTCCCACCACAAACCATATCCAAAGACTTCTGAACCACATGGTCAGGTTATTCTGAGCAACAACCCCACTTCTGTGTACTAATTTCTGTTTTAGTCAGCTTATTCATCACTGTGATCAAAAAACCTGACAAGAACAGTATAGAAGAAGGAAAGTTTATTTGGTACACAGTTTAAGAGACCTCAGTTCATAAATGTCTGACTTCTTATATACCCCAAAGGCATGCACCTACCTTCTCCAGCTATACCCTACCTGCATACAGTTACTACCCACCTAATCTAAATCAGTAATTTAATCCACTATTTAGGCTACAACTGTCATAAACTAATCATTCCACCTCTGAACCTTGTTCCAATTTCTCACACATGTGCTTTTAGGGGACTTCTCATATCTGAGCTCTAATACTGCCCTGGTAGGGAACAATTGCAAAAATATGCATCACTTGATCCTAGAGTCTGTTTGCTTTATAAGAACACCTTAAACATGGCCAATCTATATATAAATACACCTGTTAAGTAATTTATCAAGATCATAACTTCAGTTAGAGTTGAGCCTATGTCCTTTTTGCATTAATCTATATGAGAAAGAATGGGTGATACAGCTGTGTTTTACAAACTGACATGTATTTTACAGTGAAAGTCTAGTGATTGCAAGAGTAAAATTGAAATAAGTAATTTGAAATTATCCATATGGCTGCCTATTTGACAATAAAAATAAAAACAGGGAGCTTGGGAAGAAAATGGATATTAATGAACATAAACCAATACCATTCCAAATAGAAATAGGGTAATTGAAAAGTTATAGCTGTGTAATAATAAAAACTAAAAGACTTCCAGATTTTAAAATAAAGTATGATAAAAGAGGAATTATACATTTTCATGTAGTATCATATAGTGGGAAATGTACCTTTAAATTTTGAGTTAGAATTATTAGAACTGGTTCACATTCATATATGATCCTTTGGGAATAATAAAACTTTAATCAGAAATAGAAAGTTTCCTGATATAAACTATTTACTCACAATAGAAAAATCCGAAAATAATTATAAGCAAACAGGGCAACAAAATAAAAAATAACAATTCTAAAGACTACTAGAAAAAATAAAAAAAGTAGAATTAAACATCACTATGAAGTTAAAAGGAAAATGAAAAGCAAAAGAGGCACAATTAATGTAACCAGCAGAGAAATTTCAAATACCTAAATTATTCTGGAGGGTTGGAATATCCTCTAATTTTCTTCCAGAGTCCTGTCTCAGAATATTGGGGAATATAGGCTTCAAGAATCTGAACTCCTTACTCTCAGAATCTCCTTTCAGGCACACCTCATACTGGTAGCTCTGAGACAGGGTCCCTGTGCCGCTGACATCCACCAGGTGGCCAGGAAAGTGGCCCTCAGGCACCGAATACACACCCAGCGGCGCCGACTCACTCCTTCTGCACAGCCTCACCACCACGAACACCAGCACAGAGAAGAGGAAGAGCGATGACACCGACGCCAAGGCGATGACCAAGTAGACAGTGAGCGAGTCCCCTTGAGCGCGCTCGGGCGCCACTTCCGGGAGCGGCAGGTAGGGCTGGGAGAAGCCATCCACCAGCAGCACGTGCAGCGTGACGCTGGCAGACAGCGGAGGCTCGCCATTGTCCTTGACCAGCACCACCAGCCTGTGCCTGGCCGCGTCGCGCTCGCTTAACAGCCTGGCGGTGCGCACCTCGCCATTGTGCGCCCACACGCCAAACACTCCGGGCTCCGTGGCCTTGAGCAGCTGGTATGACAGCCAGGCGTTCTGGCCCGAGTCTCCATCCACCGCCACCACTTTGGTGACCAGGTAGCCCTGCTCTGCCGCCCTGGGCACCAGCTCCGTGCAGGGTGCAGAGGCATTCTGCATTGGGTACAGCACGAAGGGCGAGTTGTCATTGTCGTCCAGCACCACCACTCGCACCAGCGCCTGGCTGCTGAGCGCGGGCGAACCTTGGTCTGTGGCGCCCACTCGGAACTCGAATGACTGCAGGGCCTCGAAGTCCAACGCCCTCAATGCGAACAGCTGCCCATTGTCCGCATTGATGGAGACCAGTGAGGCGAGCGGCAGGTGCGGGTCCTGGTTTGGCAGCAGCGAGTAGGTGATCTGGGCATTGGTGCCTGAGTCTCTGTCTGTGGCGCTGACACTGCCTATGTGTAGGGCTGGCTGGTTGTTCTCACGCACCAACAGCGTGTATGACGTTTGCGTGAAAGCAGGGGTATTGTCGTTAACATCCGAGACGAGGATTATTATGCTGTGCTCGGTTTTCAGCCTTGGTGTCCCCAAGTCAGTGACAGTAATAGTGATATTATACTGGGCTCTTGTCTCTCTATCTAGAGCTCCTTCTGTTACCAGCCTGTAGAAGTTCTCGACTGAAGGTTTCAGCGTGAATGGAACATCATCTTGGATGGAGCAAACCGTCCTTCCATTTTCCCCAGAGTCTCGGTCCCGAGTCCTAAACAGAGCCACTTCTGTCTCAGGGGAATTTTCAGGAATAGGGCTGGTAAATGATGAGATAGTTAGTTCTGGGGAGTTGTCATTAACATCCAACACTTTGATAGAAACAGAGCATTTCCCAGAAAGTCCTCCCCCATCAGATGCCTCTATATCTAGTTCGTATGAAGATATGGTTTCAAAATCTAGCATTTTAATTAGTCGAATTTCTCCTGAAAGGCTATTTAGCTCAAAAGTTTTTCCTATCTCTTGAGAACTATAAAAAAGCGAGTATGTTATCTGGCCATTTGCTCCAGCATCTAAATCCCTAGCAGAGACCTTGACAACTAGGGAACCTATAGGGCTGTTCTCTGGGACCTGCACCTCATAGAGTATCTGCTCAAACTGAGGGGCATTGTCATTGACATCCAAGACCAGGACACGAATCTGAGTGGTGCCAGATCGTGGTGGAGAGCCGCCATCCAGCGCTGTCAGGGTTAATCTGAACTCAGACTGCTCCTCGTGATCTAGCTCTTTGTCCAGCACCAGCTCCGGGTATTTCCGGCCATCTCCCCGTTTGATTGTGGAAATATGGAAATGAGAGTTGGAACCAATATTGTAGTTTTGAACGTTGTTGTTGCCCACGTCCAAGTCCTGAGCTTTCTTCAGAGGAAAAACAGTACCAGGAGGGCTATTCTCTAGGATTTTTAGGATCATTTCTCTTTCAGAAAACTCAGGAGAATGATCATTTATGTCTCCCACCAGGAGCTCAGCTCGAAATACCTCCAGAGGTTTATTCAGTAACACTTGGAAATGCATTACACAGGGCTCGGTGGGGCCGCAAAGCTGCTCCCGGTCTAATTTTTCATTTAATATCAACTTCCCGGTCTGCAGATCCAGCTGCAAACGTGGTTCGTTATCCTCAGAGGCCACCCGGGCTCCCCGCGCAGCTAGCTCCCCCATTCCTAGTTCTAGATCCTTAGCCAGGTCAGCCACAAAAGAGCCGCTCTCAGTTTCCTCCATCACAAAATAGCGTCGGAGTCCCCAGCCTGCCTGAGCCACTCCGGATAAGAGAAAGAGAATCAGAACTTGCCTTTGTTTGCGCACCCTTCCGGACTCCATCTTTACTTCTGCACACACCTTTTCAAGAACAGGGGTCAGCAGTACCTTATGGAGCAATGGAACTGAGATACTGGTCGATCTTTTACTTGATAACCTGTCTGGAAAGGTAGGTAAGCAGCATTCTCTGGAGACTTACTGGTCCGGCTCTGCTTACGGGCTTTTCTTTTTTAACTGGGGATCTGAAGTAGAGTTCCTAGCATTTATTGGCGTTTCTTTCTTTTAAAGCATTAGCCTGCAGCGCCACCATGCGTTATTTTTGCTTGGAAATGAATTGCTACAATGTCTTTATCCAACTTTTAGAAGTTTGGAAATTGAGGAGAATATGTAATAACTAAATCATGCAATTATAATTTTTTATTTCTTCATTCAAAGAAGTATTATTGATATCTGTGTCTCTGGTTCTGAAAATACATCAGTAAACAATCCAGACATGCCCCTGCCCTTCTAAACCAATATTCTGGATAGGAGTGCTCTGAGGAAAACTGAGAAGTGAAAGAAGGCATAATGATCATTCATCTTGTAAAATTAAGGACACATAGCCATGTGATTTTTAAAAAAGTATCAGCAACATGTTTTGCCCTCGATTTACTTTCAAATGCTTGATTTAGCTCAGCCAGTAAGAACCATAATACTGGCCAATAAATTTTTCAGTCATAGGAAAATGTATATGAAGGTACTTTTACATCTCTTGCCCTGTTTTTTCTTACTAACATTTATCATTTTTCATAGCATGGATGTACATATTTATTTCTTTCCTATGTCATTCATGAATACTAGAACTTTGTTTTGTTCATTCTGCACCCCCCCCCCCAGATAATCCCTGGCTCATGGTAGATGCTCCATAAATATTTGTCAAATGGACCAGTGGATAAATCACAATTAATTTTAAAATTCTGATAGATGGATTCTTCCCCTACTATAGACATCTCTTCTTTTTCTGGGATCCCAGTTGTTAGATAAGCTCTATTAAATAAGACAGAGTATTCCCAAGTATCTATTTTTGATACATCAAGCATTTAAAATAACTTGAAATAATTCACAGTGATATTAAATGTCTTTTCATTGAATGATAAAATACCTTGGCTCTTTCTAACCCAAGAGATACACTGCAAAAAGAAATAATATGACAATAAGGTTATGAATATCTTACAAATAAGGTATACATCTCTTTTAGATACACATTTTACATTGTCAACAGCATTTCACACAAACACTATTATGATACTAATGATATTCAAAAGCTCTATCTTATATATCAGAATTTTCTAAGAATTTCTATTAAACAATTGGGAAGTACATTGGAAATATCCTTCAGTTCTTCTCAAATTATATATTTTAGCAAAACTTGTACATGACTCTTCCACACTACTAATAGTGTACAACCCTTTTGATGGAAAATGATATTGTTAATAGAAAAAGCCATAATAAAGGGCTGGGGCTGTGGCTCAGAGGTAGAGCACTTGCCCACAATACGTGAGGCACTGGGCTGGATCCTCAGCACCACATAAAACTAAAATAAAGTTATTGTGTCCATCTATAACTAAAAGATAAATACTTTTTAAAAGTCATAATAAAATCTCAAATTAATAGTAAGCTCTAATTCACCAGTATATGCAAGAATATCTAAACATGCTTTTAAACAAGAAAAAAGCCTCACTTAGCTATCTTAAAAGAAAGTTATTTTATTTTATTTTGTGATGCAGGGGATTGAACCCAGGACCTCATACATGCAAGGCAAATACTCTACCAACTGAGCTATATTCCCAGCCCAGAAAATTTATTTTTAATAATCCCAGGAGACAAAACTTATTGGAAGGAAATGAAACATCTACAACAGGAAAATCTACACCAAAGTTATTTTTTGGATATCTCCTTCCTTCTTGTCTCTCAGAGGATTGACTTTCTGTATTTCTTTCACATATTTAGCCAAACAAAATATCACTTGCAATGCTTGAGAAAATCTGATAATTATATTCTGAAAGTTGATATAAAGAGTAGGAAAGACTTTAAGTTGATGTAATCCTACTATAAAATAAAATCATGCATTTTTACAGATATTTCTCCATTTAAATATGCTACACAGGAAAGCATATTATCAGATAAACAGGAAATACTAACCATTCATTATATTATGCTTGTCTTCAAATCATCAAATTTAGAAAAAATTACTAGACAACAATGAAATAGAATGGGGCTGGCATCATATTCAAATCAGTACTATTTGATGTTGAAATGCTGATAAATAAGCTGAGCACAGTGGCTCATGCCCAGCAGCTCCAGAGGCTGAGGCAGGAAGATCACATGTTCCAGGCCAGCTTCAGCAATTTAGCAAGGCCATAAGCAAATTAGAAAAATCTGGTCACAAAATAAAAAATAAAAAGGTGCTGGGGATGTCCCTCAATGTTAAAGCACCCATGGGTTCAATAACTAATACTTTAAAAAAAGTTGATAGAAGAGATATCTGCAACTTTTCAGTAATGAGTAAAGTTGAAATTTTGTTGTCACCATCAAGTAAAAATGATAAAAGAGAAGGAAATAATGAGACTACATTAGAGAAAAATTTCTTATTAACTAGAAAAATCAATGAAAAACATTAGAAAATTTTATATGAACCCAAAATATAATGGAGATCTATTACACTTAGAAAGAAATTAACCTGTATCCCGAATTATCTGAAAACCAACAGTCACTAATTATCCAAAACAATTTGCAAAGCTAGAATTTTACTCCGTATCATTCACAGTCCCTTGATGATTGTGATTAATAGACTGCAGAAACTTGAAGTCGCTAGTCCCTGAGCCTTCCTTTAGACAAACCTCATACTGGTAGCTCTGAGACAGGGTTCCAGTGCTGCTGACATCCATCAGGTGTCCAGGAAAGTGGCCCTCAGTCACCGAATACACACCCAGCGGCGCCGCCTTGCTCCTCCTGCACAGCCTCACCACCACGAACACCAGCACAGAGAAGAGGAAGAGAGACGACACCGACGCCAAGGCGATGACCAAGTAGACAGTGAGCGAGTCCCCTTGAGCGCGCTCGGGCGCCACTTCCGGGAGCGGCAGGTAGGGCTGGGAGAAGCCATCCACCAGCAGCACGTGCAGCGTGACGCTGGCAGACAGCGGAGGCTCGCCATTGTCCTTGACCAGCACCACCAGCCTGTGCCTGGCCGCGTCGCGCTCGCTTAACAGCCTGGTGGTGCGCACCTCGCCATTGTGCGCCCACACGCCAAACAGCCCTGGCTCCGTGGCCTTGAGCAGCTGGTATGACAGCCAGGCGTTCTGGCCCGAGTCTCCATCCACCGCCACCACTTTGGTGACCAGGTAGCCCTGCTCTGCCGCCCTGGGCACCAGCTCGGTGCAGGGCGCAGAGGCATTCTGCATTGGGTACAACACGAAGGGCGAGTTGTCATTGTCGTCCAGCATCACCACTCGCACCAGCGCCTGGCTGCTGAGCGTGGGCGAGCCTTGGTCTGTGGCGCATACGTGGAACTCGAACGCCTGCAGGGCCTCGAAGTCCAGCGCCCTCAGCGCGAACAGCTGCCCATTGTCTACATTGATGGAGACCAGAGAGGCGAGGGGCAGGTGCGGGTCCTGGTTTGGCAGAAGCGAGTAGGTGATCTGGGCGTTGGTGCCTGAGTCTCTGTCTGTGGCTCTGACACTGCCTATTTGCAAGGCAGGGCTGTTGTTTTCTCTCACCAACAGAGTATAGGACGTTTGGGAGAAGGTAGGGGCGTTGTCGTTGACGTCGGAGACCACTACTGTTATGTTGTGTGTGGTTTTCAATCTGGGTGTTCCTAAATCAGTGATCCTGATGGTGAGATTATATTCCATTCTTATCTCTCTGTCCAGGGGGTGCTCTGTTACCAGAGTGTAGAAATTCTTGAAAGTAGGCTTCAAGAGAAAGGGGAGGTTGTCTTGAATTGAGCAAATCATCCTCCCATTGTCCCCAGAGTCTTTGTCCCGGATACTGAAAACAGCGACCACCATCTCTGGTGAAGAGTTTTCTGGTATGAGGCCAGTAAGAGATGTCATGGCTATTTCTGGTGGGTTGTCATTCACGTCTACAACCTGAACTATAATGACTGATTTTCCAGAAAGACCCCCACCATCAATGGCCTGAATATTTATTGTATAAGACTGAATAATCTCAAAATCAAGAATTGTTTTCAAATGGATGTTACCAGAAATTGGGTGGATTTCAAATGTTTTCCGCACATCTCTAGCAATATGAGAAAATGAATAAGATAGTTCTCCATTTATTCCTGCATCTAAATCTGTAGCAGACACTGTGATTATCAAGGAGCCCACAGGGCTGTTCTCTGGGACCTGCACCTCATAGACTGGTCTCTCAAACTCTGGGGCATTATCATTGATATCAAGGACAACAACTTGAATCAGTGAAGTTCCAGACCTTGGTGGGGACCCTCCATCTAAGGCTGTTAAAGTTAAAATAATTTCAGGCTCCTTTTCCCGATCCAGAGATTGGTCAATTACCAGCTCTGGGTATTTTCTGCCCTCAACACTCTCTTGTATGTTAAGGTGAAAGTAAGGATTGGGGCTTACTGTATAGGTTTGAACACCATTCCTTCCTACATCTAAGTCCTGAGCACTATCCATTTGAAATGAAGTTCCTGGTGTAGTACCTTCAGATATTTTTAGAAGTATGTGTTCATCTAGGAACATAGGAGTGTGATCATTTATGTCTTTGATCAAAAGCTCAGCCCGAAAAAATTGCAAAGGATTTTCAAATAACACCTGGAAATGCAATATACAGGGCGTAGTGATATCACAAAGTGCCTCCCGGTCCAGTTGCTCATTTAAGACCAAGTTTCCAGTCTGCTGTTCCAACCTCAAGTAAGGTTTATAGTCATCAAAGATGACTCTGGCCCTCCGTGCAGCCAGATCTTCCACACTGGAATCCATATCTTTTATTACATTGGCTATGAAGGAGCCAATCTCCATTTCCTCTGCCACAGAATATCTCCAGGTCTCAGAACACACCAAAGACCCTCCCAGCAAAACAAAGGAAAGCAGCACTTGCCTTATCTGCTGAGCAATTCTCTCTTGCAGATCCATGGCTTCTTAGTTGAACTCCTTCCTGTGGAAACGTTTCAACTCAATCTCTAGCAGCTCTGGGAGTTGCTCCTGTATCCTGGACTTTAGACAATCTATATTTTGCAATCCTGTCCAGAGGATGTTGTTGCCCTGTCTTACTTTGAAAAGCCGCCTTTCTCCTGTTTTCTCCAGCACTCTCAGTTTCACTGGTTAAGGGAAACCAGAGCATCTGCTCCTACGAAAATTTCTGCATCTTATCCTGCAGCGCCACCATGTGACTCTGTAGATTTTCAGGTTTTAGACAAAGTCAAATAAGTTCTAGATGAAATATTATCTATGTGTTTCTTAATTTAAATTATATTTTCCTATCAGAATTGTGTTCTTTATGACATATGATCCTGTTATCACTGAGTCATTTACACAATAAAACCATAATTTGCTGGAACAGTGGTAGATATAAAATCATATTTAAGATGTAGTCCCTTCATCAAATTTAAGTTATGATCTCTTTGTGAAGACAATAAAGATAGTTAAGAGGACCCTTGCATGCAATTGACTTAGCAAGTAAGAGGTTCTCAGGAAAACTGGAAATAGGAATTTAGAGGTTTTCTCTAGTTATTAGCAAATACTCCAGAAAGACAGCAAGAAAGATGCTATGCACTTGAAAGTGAACGTAGCATATGTGAGTAGTTGTTTGGGGGTAGGGTAGGAATTTTAGGCCAGGTAAATGGTACCATTCACTTGAGGATATACCATTGAAGACTTAACCTGGCAAGGTAGAAAATCAAATGCTCAACAGTAAATAAAGTAAGATAATCTGCATCCACATCACGGCAACATTAAAATTTGAAAAAAAAAAACAAGACCCCAGTTTAGTTGTAAAACATCATTTTGTAGACCCAGCATTTCCAGAGAAACAATTCTAAATATTTTACTGTCTATTCATAATTTATTCAGCAGATAATTATTGAGCATATACTTTGTGCTAGGCATAACTATAAGTGTTAGGAATAGAATGGTAACCAGACACAGTTTCTGCTATGAAAGAGACAGAAAAATTATCATATATTTAAAATAGAGCACAATGCCTGCCAGATAAGGAAAGTTCATGCTACTCTAAGAGGATAGATCAGGATGCCCTAACCAAAATTTAGAAGTACTGAAAAGATTTTTTTCTGGAGAAGTATATTCTAAATTGATACATGAAAACTGAGTAGTAGTAATACAAACAAAAATTTGGTTTGGGATAAAAATTTCCAGTCAAACTAAAAACATGAGTATGCAAATCCAAAATGAGAAAGGTGTTTTGGAAGAAGAGAGATAAGATCAATATGACTGAGGCATAGAGCAAGATGAAAAAATGGCAAGAATTGAAATTAGAAAGATAAGTAGAGTCTGTAAAGCATGTTAAAGCATTTGGAGATAACACTAAGTGCAAATGCAAGAGTTTTAAAGGGTTCCAAACAGAAAAGTGACATAATCATAGGTTAATTTTTAAAAAAAGTTCATCTTGTTTCGGAGTTGACAGAAAATCAGAAAGAGATTGAGACTGATCAAAAGAATAAAGACTGATTAGAATTGGTTGCAATAATATAGGTAAGAGGTGACTTTGGTCTCAACTAGAAATGTAACACTGCAATTGTATTAGAATGATGAAATAATGGGAGATGTGGTGTTAGATTACATGTACAAAAAGTGAGATAGGAAGGAGTAAAATAAATATACTTTGTTTTCAAGCTTAGAGAACTGAGTGGTTGTTAGTATTATTTATCTGAAATAGTAAACACAGAAAGAGGAGAAGGGGAATAGGCATATTGAGGTGGACAAGATAATTTTAGTTTGAAGAAAAAAAATTAATTTGAAATCTGTTGACTTTGAGGTGTCCATAGAGAATCAATAGTTATTTAAGTGATTTTCCATCATATAAACGAAGTTAAGGAAAGAGGTTGGAGGTTCAGAGACAAATTTGGGACTTATTGGTATAAATGGTGACTGAGGAGGTCCTTCAAGAAGGGCAATAAATTACAAATTTTGGTTTCATAAATTATGCAGCTCAGACTGAGCATAGCTCAGTGGTAGAACACTTGCCTAGCATGCTTGAGAAGTGCTAAGTTCAATCCCCAGTACTGAAAAAAAAAGGCAGCTCTTCAATTCAGAATTGTGGCAAGGGATGGGCAAAGAGGAAAATTGTAAGACGTTATATTTGAGAGATAAAATGTCTTTATAATGCTTCTTTCCTATGGTCTTTTAAAAAATAATCTTTTTAGATATACATGACAGTAGAGTATATTTTGACATATCATACATACATGGAGTATAACTTATTTTAAATAGGATTCCAGTCTTATAGTTGTACATGATATGGAGTTTCACTGGTCATGTATTCATATATCAACACAGGAAAGTTATGTCCATTCTACTGTCTTTCCTATTCCCATCCCCCATCCTTTACCTTCATTCCCCTTTGTCTAATCCAATGAACTTCTATTCTTCCTTCCCTGCTTATTGTGTTTAGTATCTACCTATCAGAGAGAACATTTGGCCTTTGGTTTTCTGGGGGATTGGCTTATTTCACTTAGTGTGAGAAGTGAAATAAGTTCCATCCATTTGCCAGCAAATGCCATAATTTCATTCTTTATGGCTGAGTAATATTCCATTGTGTTTGTATACAATTTCTTTATTTATTCTTCTGTTGACTGGTACCTAGGTTGTTTGCATAGCTTAGCTATTATGAATTGAGCTGCTATACATATTGATGTGGCTGTGTCACTATAGTATGCTGATTTAAAGTCCTCTGGGTATATACCAAGGAGTGAGGTAACTGGGTCAAATTGTGCTTCCATTCCAAGTTTTCTGAGGAATCTCCATACTGCTTTCCATAGTGGTTGCAGCAATTTGCCTTCCCTCCAGCAATGTATCTGCAGAACTTTTTCCTCATATCCTCCCCAACATGTATTGTTGCTTGTATTCTTGATAACTGCCATTCTGACTGGAGTGGGATGGAATCTCAGTGTAGTTCTAATTTTCATTTGTCTAATTTCTATGGTTTTGACGAATTTAAAACTCAACTATGTCAAGTTGATTTGATTTCATTATTGATGTCTTACACACAAAGTCAGTTTAGGTAGTATAGTTTACTAATTTCAGCACATTTTAATTTCCATTGCTACTGTTAGAGCATGGACATCAGTCTGTCATTAGTTTGAGTGATAAATGTCCTTTTTTATGGCTCTTTAAAGAAAGATTTCTGAAATTTTACTATAATATTTCTAGGCATGGATAGCTTTTTAATTTATCCTGTTAGGTTTATTTAAGTGTGTTGGTTTGTTTATTGATGTATTCATCAATTCTGAAAATTTCCCAGTCATTATTTCTTCAAATATTGGTTCTGATACAATCTTTCTCATCGCTAACTCTGGGGTCTGGTTAAATATATGTTAAACCTTTTTATTCTGTCCTACATTTCTAGTCTCTTTTCATTTTATTTACTTTCTAAGATGTGTGTTGGATGGATTATAGTGTCACCTATCTTTCACATCACTAATTATTTTGTTATATCTAACTTTTAAATATTTTATTCCATTTTAAATTTTGATTGGTATTTTTCAGTTCTATTTGATTCTGTTCAAATCTGTCATGTTTTAGAACTACTTGATCTCTGCACATCTTCAAATTTAACTTTCATTTCAATTAAAATGGTCAAGTATTATAGACTATTTGATAATTATAATATTTAAAGTGCTTATAAGTTTATGTCTGTGTTCTTTTTTTATCTGATGGCTCTCACTCATGGTGTCTTGTTTCTTGTTTTTGTAGTTGTCTTTAACTATGTTCAAGTTAAGAAGATTAGAAACTTGAAGCTTAAGATGAATAAATCTTCTTTCACAGAAGATCTGTATTTGAGTCTATCAAGACCTTAGAGCACTACTTGTTGATGGTCTCAAATCAAGTTTAAGGCTCAAAAAAAGTTCAAGGCAAAATTTCACACAAAGGCTCACCCACTTCCAGCTTACTCTGACCTTCTAGGTATAGCTATTAGGGATCCATGCTTATTAATGGGAGTATCTTTTATAAACTTCTCACTTTGTTAGGCTTTGATTTTCCTTCTCATATAAACCATGGGAATGGGGTTTTAAATTTTCCAGGATTCCAAACGTTCCCAGGGAAAAAGTAATTTTTGTGCTCTTTTGTCTCTCTGGGGGTTTAACATTAGCATTCATTTGATAATATATTAGTGTCTTAATAGCTAATTGTTTTCAGTGAAAATATTGACCTACATAAATTATTCCATCCTTATATCAAAAAGGTAAAGTCTCAGGGATATTATTACATTTCAAAATTACAAGTAAACTTTTAGCTTTATGAGCAATTGATTTTTTTGAAGGCCTAGAGAAATAATACATATTTTTAATCAACCTCAACTGATCAATACAAAATCCACTGTATAAGGATGCAATCAAGTTAAACTATCTCTTGGGAGAAACAAATTCTATTATTTACATTGTTATTAGTTTCCATTTTTTTCTGTAAGCCTGCTTCCCTCAAATACATGTATTGCCGCAGTCTGGCTGGGCACAATCAGGAGCCACTTGTCAAAAGAAACTAACTTTATTTTTAGAACCACACACGCCAAACAAAACAGCCTCTCAGGAAAAACCCTCAGAGCCTCAACTGCCACCACCGGCTTTCCACAAGCCTCTCTCTCCCCCACAAGCTTCTCTCCACCTCCCACAATCCTCCTGCTCTTGAGGCCGATTGGCTGGGTCACATGGGCGGAGCCAAAAAAGTCCCCCAATGAGCAGCTCCGTGGTCTGAAAGGGCAGGGAAACAGCCCAATGAGCATCACCGCAGAGGAGCCAATCAGCCAGATGTTGCTGGGGCCGAGGAGCCAATCAGCTAGATGTTGCTGGGGCCGCTGTGAGCCAATCATCAGCCGGCAGCTGGAAGTTTGCTGGCAGCTGGAAGTTTGATGGGGCCCCTTCGGCTGTGGCTCTCAACATCTCCCCCTCTCTGTTTAAACAACAAGCATGTGGCTTAGGGACCGTGCCTGCCTTAGGTTGTCCAATAGTACATATGGTCCTTAGGTTGGTACCATTGCAATTGGATCTTACCCGTCACTGACTACCGGTCCAGTATACAGCCACACCTGTGGAGAGGTCTTTGTACCAGCGGGGGGGTGAGGTTCTTTGCCTCACCTCTGTTGGCCCCCAAATTTTAGCTGGACGATCATGACAAGCAGAAGGGAGGAAGATACACCAAGCCAATTGACGGCTCCTTTTGGAAAAATTGTACCACCGATGACATCATCAGCAAAAATACCCCAACACTACCACAAGTCGCTGCACCAACAGATAGTTCACAATGCATACAGGTGAGCTCACAATGTGTCCAGGCAAGTTCTGCAAGCAGTTCAGTGATGGCTATTGTAGAAGCTGTAGATTGGTTTTATCTTTGACTTCACCAGCACTGGGATG